AGAGAAGAGAAGAGAAGAGAAGAGAAGAGAAGAGAAGAGTCACTCTGTAGCTTTGAGAGTGAAGGAGAGGCGAGGTCGGGACTTGCCCTTCCCCAAAATCATCCTTTGTTCCTCTTTCTGTTGTTTCTGCCTCTCCTGCTCTAGCTTCATGCGTTCCTCGTGGATCTTCCTTTGTTCTTCCACTATACGTAGCTGATCCTCAGCCTGAAACAATCAAACAAACACATGAGCAAAAGTGACTTTTTCAATCAGCCAAGACAAACAGGTACACTTTAGATCTTTTGATACACTAATACATTAAAAATGTACCTTAATTATCAGAACAGTATGTACTAATGAAAAAACAAAACAATGCTCACTGTATTCAGTACTACCATATACATAATATGGGGGCATTGACAAGCATTCATTTTGTAAGTTCAGACTAAACATTTCACAATGACTTGACACAGTAAAAACCATCAAAACACTTCAAATCAAAACCGTGAGGGTAAACATTTTCTGGCCATTTTGAGGAAGAGCGACTTTATAGTAATACAAAATGCCACAATTCTAATGACCTTGAAACGTATAAACACAAACACCAAAGTATAGCTACAAATGTGTTGTCAAAACTAACATTAGAGCTTTTAATTATCATTTTACTTAGGATTCAATATTAATCCACTGGCTTGATCTCTGCATGGAACAGTGTATATCAGGGTTCCCACCCCTTTTTGATCAATGAATTTCCATGACTATTCCAGATTAGCACTTATCATTGGATAGGAACTTTTAACAATTTCTTAGAGACTGCACTCACAACTATTTCTAAGTCAATTAAATATTTAAAATAATATTATTATATTATTATTCCCTATAGAACTTTCTAAGACTTTTTAGATTTTGCCAGTTCCTATGAGTTTTTCAGGTCTGGATATCAACATTTCCTGAGAGAAACCGTGATACTTAAAAAAATAAATAAATAAATATTGATATCATGTTAATACTACACATACAATTACATCATAAATAATTCAACAGCCACTATATGGTTGACACTCCAATATAGTACATTGCAATAACTTGTTGCCACCATTCATAATTTTTTTTTTTTTT